AGAGAGTCCTTCGACTAAGACAAAGTGGAATACTGGGTTTCAATCACCCAATGAAATACCCCTTGCAGTGTACAGGAAAACTGGCTTGATCTACCCCGTTTCACTGGGAGATTTATGTAGGTTCATTGTCTCCAGATTTACACATATAAACTAACCATAAATGTGTGCATCTTTTTTTAAAACAAAGTAATTAGACAATAAAAAATGCTTCCAAAGTGGGAGAAGCTTGGACTATAATGAGGTATTATTGAGCAAAGCCATTTGTATGTACTTGGGACTCCAAAATGTCAAAGCAGTAACATTTATCTGTGCCTGGAAAATCTTTCCACGGGGACCAGAAAGTGCTCAAATAAAACAGCTCTGGCTCAGCTTTCACACTGTGCACGCTCCCTCAAGTGCTTCTTCCTCCCTGCTCATAAGAGACCTCACGGCAGAACACTGCATCGCTGCCCATCTGCAATCAGCTCTAAACTTTGTGAGTGGCAGTCAGACCGGCATGCTAGCACAGCAGTCTCTTAACAAGGCTCACATGTGGGGTTATGGTGTGCTGTTTATTTTCTGCAACAATGGTATATAGTATTTTCAAAATGTAGGCAGGCGCCATGTTGCAAGCCTGCAATTCTAGCAGTTACAAGGTTGAGACAGGAGGATCACCATGAGCTCAAGGGCAACCCCTCGCTACACAGTCAGTTCAAGGCCAGCCTGGACTACATAGTGAGATCCTGTCTCGAAAAACAAAACAAAACAAAAATCGAGAAGATTTTTTTTTTTTTTTTTTTTTTTTTTGAGACAGGGTCTTGCTATGCAGTTGAGGCTGGGTTTAAGCTCACTACATAGCCCAAGTCTCAAACTTGCAACAATCCTCTTGCCTCTGCCTCCCAAGTGCTGGGATTGCAGGCATGTACCACCATGCCTGTCTAGAAGAAAGATTTTTAGATAAAATACAAGCCCCCATTGAGATCTGCTTTCCAGTAACAGACACTCTTAAAAAAAAAAAAAAAAAAATCAGAATGACCCCAAACTCTTTGAGCCATGATAAAATATTTGCCTTAAATACTCATTTTTCCAAGCCTGATCTAGTGAGGGTTTTTTCCAGTACACTAACATTAATTTAAAAGTCTGAAATTTTACATTCAAAAATACAATGTGTTGTAGCTGTTGTGAAGTTACTATTAGCTAGCCCTACCACTACCACTGACAAGTTATAACTCTGAATTTTCCCCAAGTATATTTTGTTAAAATCCTCTCACTTTTCAAAGTCCAGCTTTCACACCATTTCAACAGTGCATCTTTGGAGTTGTCCTTTGTCAACTTACATTTGTACTTTTTTTTTTTTATGTATTCGGTACAGGGTCTCATACTCAGTGATCCTCCTGTTTGTAGCCTCCCCAGGGCTGGGATTACAGGAGTGCGCCACCACACCTGGACTCGGTGGTCAGCGTGCCTGGGGGCAGGGCCGCTTAATCCTGAGCTATCTCGTTGGCCCCATTTGAGCTTTTAAAAATCCCTTCTGTGGTACTTAGGATTTCAATCACTTTTATTCTGTATCAAACTTATTAATCCTGCCACAAACTGAGGACTCTGGCAGGCTCCCCCAGTGTGGGGACCTCTGTGACCACCCCCCCAAACACATACACAGAACTCATGTTAGAGCACACATTCAAGTGGGCAGAAGAGACAGAGGACAGGAGGGCAAGCAGACCCTTCAGCTTGTGCTCTAAGAAGGTCTGGATAAAATATGGAAGAAATCACCAGGAGCTTGGCGCTGTGCTCAAGGTCCTCCGCAGCTGTCCCTTCACGTACTAGTACAAGCCTGCTCAAATCAAGCTATTACTACTTTTAATAAACACCAGACATTTCACCTTTAAGGTTTCATCAAAAGACACATCAATATTTCACTAATTAGAGAATTTTGTGCGAAATAAGAAAAAATTAATAACTAAAATTTATATTGCAGTTAATTCTAA